TGTGAATGTGCAATTTCTACTGTATCATGTCAATCTTGTATTCTTTTAGCCAAGTTCTCATATAATTAATTTTTTAGCTCTATAATTAGATATTAGAGGAAATTGTGTTTGTAATGTTCATGAAGGACAGAAGTGTTTATTTGGTTTCGATATGAAATGGCATTTTGCCTATATTTTAATGGTTTAGTGAACTGTAAATCTTAATGCTGCACATTAAAGCAAACTGCAGCCCCATCAGGCAGATATCTCATGTAGAGATGATTTTTATGTCCATTGAAATAGCAATGAAACCATTCTCTTTTTGTATCATGATGCATTTCATAGCGAATGAATCTTACAGACATGCTGTCAAAGTATTTCTGATGTTTGCACTCTGGAAAGTATTGGAATAGTAGGAAATGGAATCACATCTTAGGGAAATGTGAGGTATTTCATGATAGCACATCAACCTATCAGACACTTTCCAAATTCAGAGAAGCTGCTCATATAAGATTGAGATAGTGTTTAAACCATTACTGATAGTAGATACAGAGCTAGGCTATCCCAGTCCAGCTGAGCTAGATGATGTCAGATACATTTAGCAATGAACTTTGCCTTGTAATATAATGTAGTGAACTGGATCTAGAAGATGTCATATGAAAATGAGCTGACCAAAGTCTTCCAGAAACCATGTTTACCCAAGGCTATTTAAAAATCTGAGACCTGCTCAGCCTTGGTAGGATCTGAGCAGTGTAAAGGATGTTGCAAACTCAGACATTTTAATCAGTAAGAGCTGAAGAGATGCAGAACTTAATCTTTTTTCAGTGCCAAAGATCACTTTCTTGTCTTGTTCTTTTTGTCTGACTTTGGCCTCTTTGACAATTTCTTTCCCCCATGAGAATCTTCTTTAGAAATGTGTGCCTAAACTTAAGATCCCCTGAAGTTAGTTTTGTAATATTTGAACTTCTGGATCACTTTAGGGCAAGTTTTCCAAAGTATTTATATTGTGAAGACTGCAGATGGAAACATAGTGGGAATTTCAAAAGCAGTTAAACAGACAAGGCACTTAACTTTCATTTAAATTAATTAGCTATACTGATCAAGTTCCCCATGGCACTTTTGAAAGTTCCACTGCTAAGTGTTTATGTCTACATAAAAAATTACTTCAGAAGAGGATGAGCATCCAGCAACTCCCTTTAAAGCTTGACTATTACAGGTTTTCAGTAGTTCTGGAAATTTTCCCTTTTTCTATGTTCCCAAATGATCCTTTGTTTTGTAGTTTCTTAACAGTTCCTGCTGTCATTTAGTGTATAAAGTTAATCTCAGAGAAGAAGTGGGATCAGTAGTGCTATCTAATAAAGAGAGAAAAGTAATGAGTGAATCTTCAAGAAACTGGAATCTTTGATACATACAAGCAGTGAAAAAACAGAGATTTAACATTACTGTAATTATATCTTGTATTGCATTTACTTATTACCTTTATTTAATGTGAAATAAAAGTTCCAAAATATATTACAGGCAAAGACTGCTGCAGGTTGTGGACAGCTAGGAAGTGAACCAGACGACCAGAATTAGCATGGCTTTTCAATTATTAAGGTCTGCATATATTGAAACCCTTAACAGAGCTGTTCAAATGTAATAAAAGCACAGTACTCACTCTGAGGTATAGTTTCTCCTGTCCTATCCTCTGCCTCTTCAGAGATGCAGTATTGTTTAAGTAGCAGTTTGAGGGTATACACACATCAGCATTTTGTTTTCAACCAAGAGTTGGCTTGTGAAATGAATCTACTAATTATTCCCACTTAGCACACTTGCCCATTGTGGTCTTGAGCTAAGTGAACTGGGTTGCTTTTGGCTGAAATGGAAACAGAATACATTTTCCAGAAGGACAGTTAATCTTCATTAAAGATTACCACTGTTCAGTCCACTGAATTATGTCAAAATTAGGTCAATACAACCTTCTAATTTCAAATACAGACCAATGTGAACATCAAGCCGTCAGAATTAACAGCTTTGCTCTGCTGGTTGGTTCTTACTGTGGCACATTGCCTGTTAATGTAGCTGTAAAGTGAGTTGTCAGATCGTTGGGAGAATCTCACCTTTCCACAAACTTCCAGAGTTATCATCCTAAAATGCCAGAATTTTCTCAGATATACAAGTGTTTTGAAGGGATTTTCAATTCCAAACACTGACCCATGTTTCTCTTTCACCTTAAATAGAAAATGAAATACAAAACTAGTGAGTAGGAACTCATAACTTTTTAAAAAACTTTTTGAAAAATCTAGGTCACCTGAAATGTGTTTATTTGCATAGAAAATTAATTCAGAAAATCCAGATTTTAAAACTTTAAAAACTTTTTTTGATTTAGAACTTTTCATTCTTTAAGATTCTATTTGTGTTTGACTTTTTCTATTGCTAACCTGTCAATAGTGCATATATTCATAATTAATTTATCAGGGAAATAAATCTTTATGCAGTGAGTTTTTCAACATTCATAACTGTATATATAACTTTAATTGCTGGAAATTATATTTTTTTTAGTTTGTGTCAGATGTATCAGAGTGAAAAACATATATGAATCTTTACCAGTTAGATTCAGAAGTAGGAATATATTATTAGTTGTTGCCAATGTGAAGTGTAACCTGAGGCACTTAAATGTTTTGCAAACCATGAAGAGATTTTAGGCATGTTTTTAGCAAATTAAAATACTGTTAAGAAAAAAGTATATAAAGTCATAAATAGCTGTAAAATTAAGGGATTTTTAATTTTTCTTTTTAAATAAGGTAGACACTCTAAAAGAGAAAAGGGAATTCTCTGTATTTATCTAAGCCATAGATTCACAATACAGTAAATGTGAACTTAGGATGCCTAATGCTAGACAAGAACCACTGTAGCCTCATGATATTAAATGCTGATCTGGTATAAACTCACCTTGCTAATTCAAATGCGTTTAAAAATTGGACACCTAGGCTTTATCCTGTCAGGATTTCTGCTGGATGAGATATTGCCTGTCCATGCCATTCTAAATTTATGCTGGATAAGATATTGTCTACTCTCCTGATGATTCTGTATTGTGTGCTATAATCTAGCCAATACTGTTGTTTTCTGAGTCATCCCAAACTTACCCACAGATTTGGATTAATGACCATGGCCTACTGTTGCCTCCATTATTGTATTATGTGAGTAAATCACAAGCTTTGTATTTATTCTCCTAGCAACAATGTGAAGGCAAACTGTCTTTACTCTCATGCTGATTTCATCATAGCATATTTTCTCATGTCTAGTAGATGAAACAATAAGGAGCTATGTGGGCTTTTAGGATTTCAGTTATGAAAACCAGGAAATTGTAATAGAGGTGAACTTTTTCATGTATCAAGTGCTCTGCTGGAGCTCTATCAAAGCTGTTTCATACAAGTCTGGGTATTCTTGTTCTTTTTAGGACGCTAATTGCTTAAGTGATTTTCTTTTCCATGGTCACCAGATGATGTATTTTGCATAGTCATCACAATCCTTGATATAAAATCTAGTTGACTTCTGAGGATTCAGGATCCCCTCCCACTGAAACCCTCGAGTGACTCTGAGGGTTCTCAGAGCAGTTTTTATGAGTGATTGTCTCCTAGCTCCTGTATTGTCCTTTGGAGTGGAGAATATCATCAAAGTCCTACAGGGAAGGGGCCCAGAAGAGAGGAGTCTGTCTCTTGTTGCTGCTTTATTCACCTGCACAGCACTGTAACTGGTGCTCTGGCTCTCAGGGGAAGGCAAATAAGGCCAGCAACGCTACATTGTGATTTCCGCTCAGATCTGTTAAAAATTGCTGGAAAAATGAACTTTAAGGGCCAAAATTGCCCCTTTTTATAAGCTGTCCTCATTCTGTCCTCCTCCAGAAGGAACTGAGAACATTCCTGACGCCTAAAGTTTTGTTACTGCTGTTTCGCTTATGAATAAAGCCTGCAAATGAAACAAAAGTGCTAAGAACTTAATAGGCAAGAACAAGGAAAGTGCTTTGTCCTGAAGTGCTCACGAACTCCCAAAGGAATGAAAGGTGGGGCCAGGAGCAACAGGGAGCGGTTCTGATGCCCACACGGGGCTCTGCTCTCGCACAGCTCACAGTGACCTCTGCAGAACAGGGCTTTAACAAGGGGGGGCTAAGGACAGCTGGCACCAAACGCAGGGATAATTTAAAGTAGGAAATTCTTTAAATCCAAGAGTTCCTTATTCAGATTTCATTTGCAGGGCATGCAGGAAGAATACATAGGTGGATGAAAAAAAGTCTATTTTGCTAATGTGCTGCTGTGGAGAAAGCTAGGATTTCTAAAACAAGATTGCATTGTTTTGTGCTACAGAAGGATCCCTGGACTTATTATATCAGGAGAACTAAAGCAGTAGTCAAGACATCTTTTTCCATTATTGTTCAGAAAGCAGTATATACTTACTTTAATCTTCTAGAAATATAAATAAAATATAAAAGCATTTCAAGGCTTTGAAGATGGAAAAGTATAAAATATCCACATTTGTGGGAGGAGTGGCATCACAGACCTTTCTTCTCTGGTACTCTTTGTTGTGCCAGGGCTAATGCATGGAGATTTTAATCTATTTCTTTCCTATACCAGAAACTACTCTGTAGCTCACTCTGAAAACAGACTTGCTTTGTAATTAAATGTTTGAGAACTACTGATACTTATATTTGCATGTGATTAACTTTTTACAGCACTATGTATGGGGCTTTTTGCTTTTAAACTAGCCTGGAGTCAATAAATATCTTTACAGATGTCAATTTGGTCAGCAGTAAAGAGGTAAATAGAAACTAATGAGACTCATCAAGCCTGTGGCATGAATGATTTATTGGACACAATCATTTAACACTTTTTTAAAGTCAGTGCAGGGGAAAGAAACAGGTTTCTTATTATGGTAAACTGTATTTGTGCTGTCAGCATGTAGTGATTTATGACAAACCTGTGGCCAGGATTAGGATATTATAAATGAAGGAAAATAGAAGACTCATTAATTTTTTATACCCACAGGTAGAAGACATGCAGTGGGCTAACAGAGAACACACTCATCCAGCATCTGTCTGCAGCCTGCCCTGTAAAGCTGGGGAAAGAAAGAAAACCGTGAAGGGAGTGCCCTGCTGCTGGCACTGTGAGCGCTGCGAGGGGTACCATTACCAGGTGGATGAATTCAACTGTGAACTCTGTCCCATCAATAAAAGACCAAATGCCAACCGTACGGATTGCCAGCTTATCCCTATAATCAAACTGGAGTGGCATTCTCCTTGGGCCATCGTGCCTGTCTTCATAGCTATTCTCGGTATAATTGCCACCACCTTTGTGATTGTGACATTTGTCCGCTACAACGACACACCGATCGTCAGGGCCTCTGGGCGGGAGCTCAGCTATGTGCTCCTGACTGGCATTTTTCTCTGTTACTCCATTACTTTTTTAATGATTGCAGCTCCTGATACGGTGGTCTGCTCATTTCGAAGGATCTTCTTAGGACTTGGCATGTGTTTCAGCTATGCTGCGTTGCTTACCAAAACAAACAGGATTCACAGAATATTTGAACAAGGTAAAAAATCTGTCACAGCTCCCAAATTTATTAGTCCAGCTTCTCAGCTGGTGATCACTTTCAGCCTCATATCCTTGCAGCTTATTGGAGTCTTCATCTGGTTTGCTATTGATCCACCACATACCATTGTAGACTATGGAGAGCAGAGGACACTTGAACCAGAAAATGCCAGAGGAGTTCTCAAATGTGACATTTCAGATCTTTCTCTCATTTGTTCCCTTGGATATAGTATTCTCTTGATGGTCACATGCACTGTTTATGCTATTAAAACAAGAGGGGTTCCAGAGACCTTCAATGAAGCAAAACCCATTGGATTTACTATGTACACAACCTGCATAATTTGGTTAGCTTTTATTCCAATCTTTTTTGGTACAGCCCAATCAGCGGAGAAGGTAAGTGATGATGTGGTTACATATCAAAACACTACTCTTTTTCTATTTTTATCTCTCAGTAATTACAGCCCTAAAATGTTTTCACTCTTATGAATAAGTAATTCTGAATGGCAAACAAACCATCAGAATTCACAGACAATAAAGTATATGTTTCAAAAGGCAGGTTTCCTATATATTAACACAAGAAACTGACCGTGATTGTTGTGTGACTGGCATAAAAATGTTGACAATTTCTCAATATAACCTTAAATGACTGTTTCTTCTAACTTGTTATTGCCCTTCAGTGGTGCTGTGGCCTGTTACATGAAACACTATCAATCTTTGTTATCATCCACAGATCTGATAGAACTGGTTGCATTCCACACGTCTAAGAAGATCAACTTACATTTGTCAAAAATAATGAAGAAAAATGCTGGGGCAGAATGAAAAGAATTACTTTTGTCTCTGGTTGGCACACAAAACTTTAAAAAAAATTAAGAGAACCAAAAATAGAATGGGGGAAATGAATGGTGAATGAAGTTTGTGTAAATTCCTATAAGGCATAATTCACTAATTATTATATCAATGCAAAAAGAAAACAATTTCCTGATAATAAGAAATGAAATGGTTCATACTTGAATGCAAAACATGTCAGACATGTAACTCTCCTCTCAGTTTTAATGGGAAGGGAGAGGTAAATGTCGACTGTGTATTTATTGAGGTGACAGTAATGAAAATGACAAGTTAGGCAGAGAAAAGCAGTAATACTAGCATCAATCTTCAAAGCTGCAAATATTGATAAATGGAAAATATAAAAAATTAAAGTCAACAGTCTTTCATATAAATTCTTGTCTTTTATTCTAACAGGTGTTTTATATAATGTTTTCAAATATTCATTTTCACTTAATTGGAAAAGTTAGCATGTGTTCACTTATAATTATGCAAAGGTTTGATATGTCTCTAGTTCAGAGGGCACCCTTTTCTGTGGAATTAAAGAATAGTTCTGTATATCTTGATGAAACACTTTCTAATTCAAACAGAAGAATTGTATGGGGCAGAGAACGTGACAGAAAAAACATTTTCCTCACTAAATTTGAAGCAGGCTTACTGAATTGGATCAGGCTTATTTTCATGGCTTTTTGGATTAAGTCGGGGAAGTGAGTACCGAGGTAATGACTTATCACAGAATAAGTTTAAAAATCCCATTTGACATAGGAAAACATGTTTAGGTAAATTGTTTTTAAATGCTGCCTTTTTTGTATTTGTAGTCTTAAGTCACAAAAGTGCTTTGTTGTATAAATGTGTGGTACTTTTAACAGCTTGGTCAAATCAGGTTTATGGCAAGGATTTAAACCAGAAGAATTGAGTCTTGAAATAGGAAATATTTCTCTGCTGGCAACCATGCAGTGACTTCAATTTATGCCATCAGTTCACCTTGGCTTGTAGTAAAGGATGATTTGGTTTCTACCTTTAAAGACAAGATCAATTGATGTCTCTTTTGCATTTATTTTTTGAAACCCAAGACTGAATGCACAAATGGTGCCGAATCACACAGCTTCTAACACTAAATTCCACTTGTTAATTGTCTTTTTTTCTTTCTAAAATATTTGTTTTTCTTCCCTCTTTTTTATGGAGGGAACAAAATGCTAATAGAGTAGCTCTGTATTCAAACAATTCTTTTCAAAGTTTTTTGCTGCAAATAAAAGTGTGCTTCCAGAGAGAGTATTACAGATGTCTTCATAACAGTTTACATATTCCATACAATTAAGATACTTGTCTGAATGGGATGAAAATGTAAAATCTTACTGTGAACATATGCATGGTCTGAATAAACTTATAGTTTCTCAGTTAATGCATAACACCATAAGAAGCATTTTTAAAACAAGCTAATGTATTCTAGCGTATTTTATTTGACATTTGATATTGTGATTTTTTTTTAGGATGAAACAAATTACAAACTTACACGGACTTCTTTTGGTGCTCACATTGCAGTTGTATTAGAATCCTGAAATTATTTTTTTTTTAATGGCTTGAGCTTATTCAGAGTGAACAGAGCAATAAAAGCTGGGGGTTTTAAAGTGCTATTTTAAAGCAATGTTTCCCTTATGAAATGTTGACAGTAAAAAATTTATCATGACATTAACTACTTGCCAGGGGTTCTTCTTCCAAGCACTAACTTTAGATACACTTCTGTTTGAATAATGAGTAGTTAAAACTTCTCCAAAATGTTTTGAGGAATTTCAGTTTTCTTGGACCTTAGCAGTGCTTACCATAAGAGCAGAAGTTACTAAGCATTTCTTGAAAAAGAGGTTGTACTTACTTAAGTATTCAATTAACACTAATTAAATAACAAACCTACTGAACAGCTTATTTCACTGTCAATACCACTGATAAACAAAAAAACCATCAATGTTGGAAATAGGTGTCTAGATCCAAAACTCAAAGCTTACTCTAGAAAAGTTAGCTTTACATTTAGTAGCCTTAGTGATCAATTCCCAAAAGTGTAAATTTCCTAAGACATATATATAAAGTATAGAGGAGTGTAAACCTATAGAGTTGGCACAAGTCCATAAATTGAGTGTTGGCATCAATCAAATTTCAAATATGCATGAGGAAGGTAATTTAAATAAGCATAAGTACTTATCTGCAGACAGACTAGGAATCTTGATGATATGTTCTTGCAGAAAGGGAAGCAGCTCTCTCTCTCCTGTGCTCATGAAGACTCTTGGGTCTCTACTTGGTGAATGCAGCTGAGTTAAATGCCTGAATTTACATGCAGACATAGCTGCAGGAAAAACATAGTAAAAGCTAAGGTAACTTGACAAGATGCAATGGGAATAGTTGATTTATAGTCTTGACACTTGTAGTGGTCCTTTATAACAAATGCTGTTTCTTTTAATTTTTATTATCACATATTACTTGTAAGTTTGAAACGAATATAAAATTGAGAAAACTACTGTATATTATTGAAGGAAATAAATAAGTATATATATATATATATGGATAATTTAAAAAATGTTAAGTACCATCCAGAATAACCTGGCATAATTCAAGCTTGGTGGCTTGTATTGATCTCCATGTTTATTAATTTGTCCATATTTTCAAGCAGCAGAATATAAATGTCCTATGGTATTAAACCCACTATTTTGAGATTGTAATTCTTACACATGTCCTGCAAAGAAAATATAAACATTGGCTTTAGGTCCTGTGTGATTTTTTTTGGGTTTTTTTGGTCTGGTTTGTAATTTTGTCCATTCATGTTCATGTCTGTTTTGACAACTCCTTCTTTTTGAAAGTAACCTACTATAAAAAATTAAATTATTTCAGTGTGTCATTAAACTGAATGAAAAATGGCCCCCTAAGACATAAACCACTAATTTTCTAACACTTTAATGTCGGTAAGGTGCTTTAGAGGCAAAGGGGAGAAATTCTGTGAGCAAGCATTCTGTGAATATAGCTTTCCTGTGTGTCATGCACATGTACATGGCAAAACACTGGAAGAACTGGACTCATCTAGGATAGAGATGTCTGAAATGCCATAATGACCAGAATGCCACTGAAAAATATATTGAATAATTGAGTGATTAAAACAGGTGTTTGAATTCCAGTGTAAAATTAAGTTAAAATGGCAAATTGCATTAAAACCTTCTGAGGATAGATGGCTGTCTGAAGTACAACCCTATTTACTGAATTGAACTTTTGTAAATTCCTTTTACATTTTTGACAGATGGATAAATAATGTTTATTCACAGATTATCACACATCATTATTATCAGACATGATTTATTATATTAATCTAGAAATACTTTGCTTGAATGAGAAGATGGATACTTGTTCCTCATACTTTGAAGGAAGAGATGTTTCACTTTCTGCTTAGGAAAGAAAAAACTTAAAAAACACTGAATAATTTCTTCCTTCTCCTCCAACTGGAAGAAATTTCAAGGTGTAATCTAACAAGGCAGATAAATTTTAATGTATTTCCAATTATTCTGACAAGTCCGACCTCTCTTTTCATAACTGCAATAGAAACAAATTGTAATTTTATAATAGAAATTTCCCCATAAATTATTATCATTATGTTCTTAATATTCCAACTGTTTTCATGCTGCATTTATTGTTCAGTGGATCTTATGCTTATAGCCATCTGTTTGTTAGTAACACTAAAATAAATTAGAAGCAATACTAAAAGTATTCTACTATTAATTTGACTTGTAAATCACAGCTGTAATTGTCAAGATAAAGAAATTCAATTCTTAGTGGGATGAAGAGGTAGTTCTGTCAGTGTAGTAATATATGTTCATTACCTTAAAGAAAACAACTACTAATGATAGTCCAGGTAGACACTTCTTACTTCTCCCATATTTCTAAAAAAATTATACGGATCATCTTTTGTGTGTGTGTTTACATTATGAATTCTTGAATAAATGTATTAAATTTAGCACTTCTTTCATTTTATGATTAATGTTTTCCTTGATTAAAGTAGAATCTCTGCTGCCAACACTGTGCATAGCATAAGGATTATTCTGAAGGGATATTTGAAATTTTCTCATTTTCATTATTACAGGAGCAGAAGACTGCTGAAGTGCTACAATCCACATTCAGCAGTATATCATTGTTCAAAATTCCATTTCTGTGCTCCTAATTGTTTTTTATTGAGAATCTTTAGAATATAGGAGTACTTGCAAGATTATAAAAACACTATCAGTACTTGAATTTTTTGCATGTCTAAAGTACAAGATTCATAAGGAGCAGCTGAGAAAACGGGACTTGTTCAGCTTGTTTCTACAACCTTCTTTAGCAAGGACAGTGTTGCTTTTTCTCCCAGGTAGCAAGTGATAGGACAAGAGAAAATTGCTTCAGATTGTGGATGGGCAGGTTTAGGCTGGATGTTAGGAAAAAGTTCTTCACTGAAAGGATGGTCAAGTGGTGTTTAAAAGACATAGATGTGGCACTTAGGGACATAGTTTAGTGGTGGACTTGGCAGTGTTAGGTCAATGCTTGGATTTGATGATGTTAAAGGC